GGCGGGGCGGTGCCGCGGCGAGGGCGGGGGCGGCAGCTATCTATCTATCTATAGGAGTGTACTGTGTGTTGGTGACATGAGTCATTAGTGGGCGTGAGCGGATTGCTTGCAGAGCGGCGCTTTGTCCGCCACCCTTCCCCGTTCCTCGCCCTCCCGCGCACTACCCACCATCTCTCTCTTTCTTACTCGCACACGTACGCGCGCTCTTACACACTTTCCATTCCTTGATCTCCCGGCGTTTCGTCTCTTCGCCTGCGACTGCCACCCGCTCGTCTCCGTCTCGCGGGCAGTGTCGGCCCCGGCCATCCCAGACGTGTCTCATTCTCATCCCTACCTTTGGTGCGAGGGGGCACAAGAGGAAAGGTGCCTTAAATTTGAAAGGGGGGGGGGAGCCGTTGAGAAAATGTCAATATCAACGGTAACTTTATTTTAGATATCATTTGTCCTCAGGGAGGGACTTCGCCACATGAAAAATGTCGTCTGAAACAGTAAAATCGTCGAATCGCTTCAATCTACTTTCGAACGATTTTCACGGTGCCGACTCGAGCAGACGCGAGCCGTAGTTGAGTTGGAATGTCAGAACACGGAGAAAGAAGCGCACCGCCCTGCAGTGGGCCCCGCGCCGTCCCGTCCCCGCCGCACGTGCTCCCAATTAGGGGCCCTCTCTGTGCGCGGAGACCAAGCCTGGGACCAGGCCGGGGACCAGCACTCGCATATGGGAAAAGCCTCGAGGCTCACAGAGCTTCCACGACAGTAATTGCTCATGTACATTGTACACGAGCCGCATTGGGGGCCCCGTCTGCAGCGGTGGCGGCAGCGTGAGATGGCAAGTCGAAGGAGCTGAGCTGCTGCTGCGGTGAGAGGGGCCACACGAGCCTCCCCACACGCAGGCCCTTTAAAATATATCAATCCGAGGCCCCATCTTTGGCCCATTGCCCCTGCATATAGGCGCTGCTCCTGAGTGAACTACCTTTTTAGGCGTACGCACAGCTTTTTCACTTCAAGGAAACCTTGTAGGTAAATCACCAATACCGAAAAGGGAGCATTTGTGGTAGGGCTTTTATATACGCTATTAAATCCATTTTCACACGACGCATTTGTCATTGTTTGGCCTGCTAGAACGGATACTTGAACACACGGACAAAACACTTCAACATGCATTTACGGGATTGTCCAGAAAGCACGGCTAAATTTAACAAATTCGATCGCCTAATAATGGCATCTCAGCGCCTGCGAAACGAGGGGTAGGCCACCCCGCATTACACGCATGCGATTCAGGCACGAGTTTGTCTACCTACCAGGCGCTACGGCAGCGTGCAGCAGCTGAACTTGGTTAGTACGTAACGGAAAATGGCGCGCGTAATTCAGAGAAATCCGTACGCATAAAAGACAGGGCACGCACATTTGTCAAGTACTTGGCTGCTTGAACTCTGGCTAAGATACATATTTTTTTTTTAAAGGAACAAAGTGCACGAGCCTTATAATTTTAAAATTAGAGTGAGCTCGGTAAAGGGGAGACAGCGGAGAGGTAGGAAATGCTGGGCGAGCGTAGCTGTACGTACAGCTCCCGTGACAGCCGCCAGGGGTAACGCGCCACCCTGGTCAATGTTGTGGCAGAAAAATGTTCAGAAAAAAGGGCTGAGGGCCTAAAGGGCTGCGCTTATTGCTGTTGATAATGTTGTTTGCCCGCCTAGCCAACCCCCAAAAGGAAGCAGGGGAAAAACTCTTGGCCGACTTACGGGAAAACGCGCTAGGGGGGCGACAGGCGACAAGAGAAAAAGGCAAAAACCTCTTTAAGGGCCGTCTTGGAGCGCGGCCCGCGCCGCCACGGCCGCGCGGCAGTAGAGCTGGCAGCAATGGCGACGGGGCGCGGGGCCGACACGCTCCGGGTAGCAGAGAGCCGAATATCGACGGCAGCCCGCCCCGCCCACGCCGAGGCGGCATGGTGAGGCGGGAGCACCTGTCGATGGGCTCGCGGGGCGACAAAGTGAAGCGCAGTGCGGCCGACTTAGGAACTGGAGGGACAATTTGACCGAGAA